TCTGTTATTTTCCCTTTGAATAAACTTTCTACCCGGTCTCTTTCTCCACCTCCTCTTTAAGGCCAATAACTCTTAAACTTGCTCCCTTGAGGCAATTTTCTAGATCCCATAGGTGTGCTCCATTGTTTTTTATTTTTTTTCTCTTGTCTCCTCTGACTGTATTTTCAAATAGCTTGTCCTCAAGTTCATTAATTTTTTCTTCTGCTTGATCAATTCTGCTATTAAAGGACTCTGATGCATTTGTCAGTATGCCAACTGCATTTTTCAGCTTCAGAATTTCTGTTTGAATTCTTAAAATTATTTCAATCTCTTTGCTAAATTTATCTGACAGAATTCTGAAATCCTTCTCTGTGTTATCTTGAATTCTTTGAGTGCCCTCAAACAGCGATTTTGAATTCTCTGTCTGAAAGGGCACATATCTCTGTTTCCCTAGGATTAATTTCTGGTGACTTATTTATTTCTTTTGGTGAAGTCATGCTTTCCTGGATGGTGTTGATGCTAGCAGATGTTCCTTGATGTCTGGGCATTGAAAAGTTAGGTATTTATTGTAGTCTTCATTGTCTTGGCTTCTTTGTAGCTGTCCTTCTTGGAAAGGATTTCCAGGTATTTGAAAGGACTTGGGTGTTGTAATCCAAGCTGTTTCTTCTTTAGAGGGCACCTCAAACCCAGTAATGCTGTGGTTCTTGCAGATTCATAGAGGTACTGCCTTGATAGTCTTGGACAGGGTCTTGGAGGATTCTCTGGATTACCAGGCAGAGACCCTTGTTCTTTTCTTTTACTTTCTCCCAAACATACAGAGTCTCTTTCTCTCTGTTCTGAGCCACCTAAAGCTGGGGGTGAAGTGACACAAGCACCACTGTGTCACCACCACTAGGACTGTACTGGATCAGACCTGACACCAGCACAGCACTGGTCTTACCCAAGGCCTGCTGTAACTACTCCCTGGCTACTGCCTATGTTTGCTGAAGGCCTTGGAGCTCAACAATCAGCAGATGGCAAAGTCAGCCAGGCCTGTGTCCTTCCTTTCAGGGTGGTGAGGTCCCCAGGATAGGTCCAGAAGTGCCATCTGGAAGTTAGGGACTAGAGTAAAAAACCTAGAAGTCTACCTTGTAGTCTATTGTCTTGTGACTGAGCAGGCACTCAGCCCTCAAGATGTAGTTCTTCTCACTCTTCCCTCCCCTTTTCTTTCTTTTTTTTTTTGAGATGGAGTCTCACTCTGTCACCCAGGCTGGAGTTCGATGGCATGATCTCAGCTGACTGCAACCTCCACCTCCTGGGTTCAAGCAATTCTCCTGTTACAGTCTCCTGAGTAGCTGGGACTACAGGTGCATGCCACCACGTCTGGCTAATTTTTGTATTTTTAGTAGAGGTGGGGTTTCATCATATTGGTTATCCCTCCCTTTTTCAAAGGCAGAGGAGCCTGACCCTGTAACTACTGCCCACCCCTGTCTGCCAATAGCCTTGAGGAGTGCTACTAGACTACCATGGATGTTCCCTTAAGGCCCTAGGTCTCTTAAGTCAGCTTGTGGTGAATGCTGCCTGTCCTGGGACTCCCCCTTCAGGGCAATGGGCCTATCTCTGGCCCAAGGCGGGTCCAGAAATGCCACACATGAGTCAAGTCCTGGAATTGAGGACCCCAAGATTTTACTTGGTGCTCTACTCCCTTGTGGTGGTGTTGGTACCTAAGGTGCAACAAGACACAGCCCTGTTTACTTTTCCCTCTGCTTTTCTCAAGCAGGAGGAGTTTTGCCCCACACCACCACAGCTGGCAATGTGTTGAGTCTCACCTGAAGCCAACAAGTCTCAGAGGTTCACCCCAGGCCCTCGTTATAGTACTCTGGTATCGCTGCTGTTTACTCAGGGCCCAAGGGCTTTTCAGTTATCATGTGATGAATGCTGTCAGGACTGGGTCCTTTCATTCAAGGCAGCGGGTTCCCTTCTAGCCCAGGATGTGTCTAGAAATGTTGATTGGGGCTTGGGTCTGGAACGGGGGCCTCGTGACTCTGACCAGTGCCCTATCCTGCTGTAGCTGAGCTGGTATCCAAGATGCAAGGCAAAGTCCTCTTCACTCGTCTATCTTCTCTCCTGGAGCAGAAAGAAAAAGTCTCTTTTGAAGCTACAACTTGTGCAGCCCAGAGGCGTGAAGCCAGTACTCCCTTGGCTGCCTCAGCTGGTATCTCAGCATGTCACATGTCCCCTCAGTCCGCTAGGTCTCCGGGCCTTGTTCAGCCCTAGGACTTGCCTAAGAGTTGCAGTCCTTATGGCCTAGACTGCCTTTCAAGTTTGGCCCTTGGTGGCGAGGTTTGTGGCCACTCATGTTCAGACTGCTGGGATTGACAATTCCCCTTTGGCTAGGGCTGGTTTAAGTGCTGCCTCTGTGAGTGGACATCAGCTGAGTTTAGTCTGGTTTTTCTTTCTCCTCTAACAGGACAGTGGAGTTAGTTCATCGCCCACAGTTGATGTGTCCTCCTTCTCCCAGCACCCAGAGACATTCTCCGCAACACACCACTGCTGCTGCGGGTAGGGGAGGGGCAGCATCGAGATTCAGGACTGGTTTTTAATCTGTCCAGTGCCTCTTTTAGTGATATGAAGTTAAAACCAAGTACTATGTGTGCTCACCTGAGTTTTGATTCTTATGAAGGTGTTTTTTCTGTGTAGTTGTTAACTTGGTGTCCTTGCCAGGGAGACCATTGGTGGAGCTTTGTATTCCAACCTCTTACTCTGCCTCTCACCTACTTTTTCTTTCTTTCCTTTCCTCTCACGTCTTCATTTCTTCCCTCTCTAGACACTCCTCCTCTGGCAATGCATGCTTATCTAATGATTCTCTTGCTTTAAAAATCCCAGAGGCTGATCTTGAAACAAACCAGGCAGGGAGCCCCCATTGCAGAATCCTCCTGCTTAGAAGGAATCATGAACAATCAGTGCATTATCTGGCTGAAGTCAAGATGACACCAAACAGACCTCCTGACAGGTAACTTACCTGAGATAGCCATCAGAACAAGACACACAGACCCTACACCCCGCGCCACTTCCACATATCTCCCATACCAGGTTTCTCTTCAAAAATTACTGTGATACATTTTAAAATTCAAGATGGTACTTTAAAATGCCAGCTCACCATCTTTGGTTTACTGGCTCTCTGATGAACTGGCTTTTCTTCCCACCACCTTTTCTCTCATGTCTGGCTTTCAAGCAGTAAGCAGCCAAGCCAGGGTTTACTTACACTATCGGTGCCCCTAGTATGGGTTCTCAGCATAGCCCACATTTCTTTTTGGAAACCTCATCGCACTTAACATTCTTTATTAAATGTCTGTTTTCCTTTCCATAGTGTACTGCACAAAAGGTCAGGGATCATCATGTCTACCTTTCACCTCTTTCTCACGAGCTTTGCCTGAGTTATCTGTGGCACTCAACCCATTTTGTTTGAAGAATGAACGCATCAGTTGACCGTAATTTCTCTGTTCTTTGACTTGGCCCTAGTTTTGGGAAGCCCACTTGTGATGCACAGTTTCTAGAAATTAGAGTATGTGGCTCTTTTCTGGCTCAACTCCTCTCGGTTTTTTACCTCAGTGGACTTTCCCTTGCCCAGCAGAACTCCTCCCCTGGAGGAAAAAGTCTATAGCAGGTAGGGTGGGGAAAAGCTCTATTAAGGAGACAGAACTTTTATATTGCAGGGGCTTGAAAGGGGAAATCTGTACCAAATTCCCAGTATCGTGTTGAAATGAAACAGCAAGGCCATGTTAAGCTGTCCAGATTGCCTCTCTCACTACCACTCTTGGTGGGGGAGGGGAGAGGGCAGATGAAGATCATTGCAGTGGCAAAGGAAATGGAGGTAGGCATACATGCACTGGCTATTCATTGCCTTCTCTGGAAGTCCTTTGAATGTTTCTAATTCTTGCTATTTTTCCGTAAGATGAAGATACATAAACACACAGAATTAGCGATTTCCACTAACACTATATGCTTACAAGAATTGAAGGGTCTTCTTATCTTTGATCATCTGTGTATTTTTTTTCACTCAGAAATGTTTACTGGGGCCCTCATTGTTCAGGTTTGGGGCCATAGGCACAGAATGCAAAGATTAATATAGGAAAGAGTCTTTTTAAAAAAATTCATTTATTTAAAAAAATTTTTTTTGAGATAGAATCTCCCTCTGTCACCCAGGCTGGAGTGCAACCCCAGGTTCCCCCTCCCAGGCTCAAGCCATTCACCTGTGTCAGGTGGGATTATAGGCGCACCCACCACGCCCAGCTAATTTTTGTATTTTCAGTAGACATGGAATTTTGTCATGTTGGCCATCCTGACCTCAAGCGACCCTCCCAACTCAGCCTCCCAAAGTGCTGGGATTACAGTCATAAGCTGCTGTGCCTGGCTCGTCTTTTTTTTTTTTTCCCTGAAATTAGTTTTACTTCATGAAAAGAGTCTGCTTTCTTGAGGCATGTACCTGCTGGCTGGAAAGAAAAACCATTGATTTTAAGGTGTGGTATAATGTGGTAGATGCTTTGACAGGTAGATAGGTGCAGTGCTTTAGGAACTTAGAAGAGGGAGGCAGAACTTCTAGTTATTATTTGGAAGCTTGCACAGTTATGCCTTACACAGTGGTCATATGGTCCTAAAGATTTTGATTGCATGTTTATAGATATTCCCTATGTTAACATGTTTTGGGATTTTCTACATCATCCCTTAGTTCCTGGGAGGTAATGGGACCTACAGGTTAGAAGTAGGGACCTGTAGGCAGGTAGACTTGGATTTCAAATCAGGCCCCTGCCTGACCTTCCAGGTGAGTGACTTAGATAAATCACCTAGTTTTCCACAACTAGGAGAGAGTGTACAAGTGCTGGGGTTAAATGAAAAGATGGATGCAACACATTTAATGATGCCTGGTGTGTAGTAGATGCTTGTATCAATCATGTGATTGATTATAGGTTTTTTTTTTTGGTGGTGGTGGTGGCAGTAACAAGCAACTTGTTTATATTAAGCTTCACATGACACAGACTTGGTTGCTGAATTTTTAAAAATATGATTTATTGGTATAAAAACAATTTATCCATTATATAAATACAATATAAATATCTCTTTAAAAATATGTATAAGTTAGCCATTTATTTGAGGTAAACCTACACTTTCCAAGAAATGATCTGGCTCTGAAACAGAGGATATTCAAACTGCATAGCCACTTTCCATTATTATTTCAAAACTAATACATAAAATATTTCAAGTGGTACTTCATAAAAATATAAATATCGCTTACATAAATTAACTCAGCTTCATGTATTTAAATATTAATAAATTAAAAATAATTAAAGTAGTGTCCTAACGCTCATACTTTTAGTTCTCCATAGAGAACAACATAGGTTCTGTGCCCCGTGGGCAGGTTTTTGACCAGAAGAAGGAATGCGCATGAACAACAACAATCTTAGGTGCCCACGCTACATTTGCCGAAGAGCCCTCAGACTGTACTGCAGGAACTCCTTAAAGCTGCGCAGAATGAGATGCGTCGTGACGCCCTGCAGCCACTGGTCCTGTGCCTGCAGCTTCGTCATCAGGCTGGCATTTGTGGCTGGGTCAGGTGTGGCTATTGCACTTAGATTCTTTGCCTGAAGAGAAAAGAAAGCAAAGAGGATTGTTTAAATACTGAATAAATCCTTTGCAGTGGAGGGATGTTCTGGGCTATGGGATGGTGTTCAAATGTGAAATATGGGGTGAATGAGACTAATGGGGGGGCCTGCCCTGAATAGGACCCTTCTGCAGCAACAAACTTTTTTTGAGACAGGATCTTGCCCTGTCACCCAGTCTGGAGTGCAGTGGTACACAGCAACCTGTGTCTGCTGGGTTCAAGTGATTCTCGTGCCTCAGCCTCCTGAGTAGCTGGGTTACAGGTATGCGCCACCATGCCTGGCCAATTTTTTTGTATTTTTAAGTACAGACAGGGTCTCATCATGTTGGCCAGGCTGGTCTTGAACTCCTGGTCTCAAGTGATCTACCTGCCTCAGCCTCCCAAAGTGCTGGGATTATATCAGCACTGTGCCTGGCTTACAGCAACCAACTTCTAATTATCCCTTTGCTGTCTGTATCCCATTAGACCACAAGCATCCTGAGGGAAGCACCACTATCTTTTTGTTTGTTTTTGTTTTTGTAGAGATGGGATCTCACTATGTTGTCCAGGCCTGTCTAGAACTCCTGGCCTTAGGAGTTCAAGGAGTTCTCACCTCAGGCTCCCAAAGTGCGGGGAATACAGGCATGAGCCACCAGGACTGACCAGCATCACTATCTTATTTGTCTGTATTCTGTCATATGAAATAATGCCTGGCACATAGTTCATCTTTAACATATGGATGAAGAGCCCATACTTGAAGGCATTTTAATGTGAGTTCTTCAGTACCTCTAAATCTAATGCTTTTCTCCAGTTTCCCTCTCACCATCCATTTAGGATCTGTTGAAAGACCACTGATCTGGTGATGTAAAGAGGACTGAAAAACACCTTTCCATACACTCACCCATATGGGATAAGTAACTTGTGGAAGGCCTTGAACCTCTAAGTGTGGTCTTGGAATTCTGCAGCATCAACAGGGATATAAGCCTGCTAGAAATATGACTCTTGACCCCACTCAAGGCCTGCCAAGTCAGACTTCACATCACAACAAGATGCCCAGGGAATTCCCATGCACGTTAACGTATGAGAAACTCGGGCTTAAGACAAACAAGTAGAAATGGCAGAGGCGGGATCAGCACCAAGAGTTTCATTCTAGGCCCCTTCTTATTGAGCTTTGGCTCCTCCACACGCTAGCCAGCAACCCTTTATTCCCTGCCATTCGAATAGCCAGCTGCTAGTGGCCAAAGCCCTTAGTACCTTCTTCCAGCCTTGAGTCTCTGGCCATTTCTCTGAACTAACTCTCTGGTAAAAGGTAAGAGAAAGAGTGGAAGCAACCACAATAAGAATGTCACTTGGCAATAACTAAAATCTTAAAGTCATTTTGTGCTCTTTGGTCTTTGTTTCTTTGGATCACTGGGTGGGGCTGGATGTACTTCTTTCAGCCTTTTTTTTTAAAAATCTCTTGCATTATGAAAAATTGATGTTAAAATCCACCTCAGTTAATATAGTTTAAAATACAGTTATTGATGTTCTTTGCAGAAGAAAGACAACCAGCCAACCAAACAAATATTTAACAATCACCGTCAGAAACTATTCCCAGACTCTTGTTTACATGTAGGCTTCATTTTTGGAAGTAGCATTGCATCCCTGGGTTGACCAGGACACTGTCTTTCAGCCGTCTTCCCCACACCAAGTTGAGGGAATGAAAACACACTCACCTTTTTCTGCAGGGACTGGATCAGGCCTTTTGTACTCATCTGCACAGCTCTGGCTTGTTCCTTGCTACTCTCAAACCTGTTCTGGAGGTACTCTAGGTATACTTCAAACTCCAAAAGACCAGTGGTGATTTTCAGCAGGCAAGTCTCCTAAGAGGAAAGATGGTAGGAAAATTGGTTATCCCCAGGAGATCGAATCAATTTGAAAAGTTAAAATTGCCACAATTCAACATCTTTTCCCTCTGCCCCTCTAGAGAACTTCAAGTACCTCTTAGGCAGCACGTTTTGGGACACTGGACAGCATCATTTAAAATAACTGGACAATCAGAGGCCCCATGTAATTAGTTTTACCCAAAGCCCAACAGATGCTAGAATGTGGCAATGGGGATCCTTCTCTGATTCTTCCCCTTGATGTTCTTCCTGCTCTCTTTCCCTTGTCATTGCTGGGCTGGAACCTCCTTTTATAAAATAATCAGAAGTCAGTGCAGGTTATCTCACTGTGGAGAATGAGCTGGGCAGGGAGGAAGGGCAGACCTGGACCCTGCCAGGGGAAGCCAGAGAGGGAAAAGGCCCTGAGACCACCTTACTTAGGATGAACTAGTTAAACCTGTGTGAGTTCCTAACATTTGACAGCTGTTAAAATCTCAACAAAGTGGGACCATCTCTGGCCATACCTCTCCAAGAATAAATTACCTTAAAAAAAGCTTGAAGTTGGCCTCCTCATGAACTTTACAAAACATTCTCTACATCTACCCCCTTTTTGTTGCCACCTGGATCTATATGTATATAGGCACTGCAAACAAGAGGGAGAAGTTCTGGCTAAGGAATAGTGAAAAGTGAGTGCGACAAGTTTGTACCTCATTGAATCCAGATTGGAAGCATCCATCTTTGTCTGCCATCTTTGGAAGATTCAGGTTGTTTTCTGCCAGTGCCTCTTTGCTGCTTTCACACATGTTACTCTTGTTACATACCTGGGAAAGAATACCAGAATGGTTATCATGTAAGTGCCCCTAAAACAAACACCGCTAGGGGGCCTTCTCATTGTTCAGCCACAGCCAGGAAAGTCTCTAAAAACAATGAAGCCGCAACTCATTGGCATCCTGACAAGCAAATTTCAGTGGAGTGGGGCACACTTGGATTCAGTTCCAAGCCCACCTGTGACTTCAGGTGTGTTACTTAATCCTGAGTCTCAGTTTGCTTATCTCTAAAAATCTCCCTTTGCAAGTTTCTTTTGAAGATTATACACAGTATTTATTTAAAGTGCCTGGCACATAGTAGATACTTAATGACAGCAATTTTGACAATAATTACGTGAATATAATCTATGAGACCACCTACCCCTACAGTTTTACTGATAGAGTGCAGAGGTGGCAGGGAACTTGTGCAAGATCACAAGGCTGGTTTGTCAGAACCAGAATTCAAGTGTGGGCTCCCAGTCCCCTCTCCTGTGTTCTTTTCTTTCTACCAAACAGGACCAAAATACCTTGCATTGAACGTGGGGAGTTAATCTATTTATGATTTGCCACTTTGGTGGGCTCTGAGATATGATCTTAGCTGGAATGGCTTTGAGGAATCCTAACCATTGAGTTTACATAGCCAAAAAGTACTGCAACGGCCCTGAGAAGCTGAACGTGCCTTTCAGGTGGCACTTTTCTAGTCCTTCCAAAGCCTGAGAGACAAAAAGGAGCTTCACAGACCTTATTTTTTGGTGAGGGAAAAGGAAGCCCTGAGAAGCAATGCCCTCAGCTCATGCCAAGGGTGGGCATGGATTTCAGCCCCATTCTGCATTGTCCAGAAAGGAAAGGAACCTCCTGAGGCCAGGAAAGGATAAATACAGGAGTCAGTCTAGTTGTCCCCGTTGGTCTCAAATCTAAAGTGTTCTAGAACCCAGCAAAGACCTTCTAATGCAGGCAGCCCCAGTCCACACACAAGGGCAAGGGGAACGCATGCGCACAGGGGCCCATCAGCCCCATCGCCAAGACTACCCACCTCCTTTCTCAAGGCTGAGATGCCGCCGAGGATGTAGCGAATGTGTTTGTCAATTCGCTCTGTGGAGGCGAGTAGCTGTCTGTTTGGGGCGGCTACCTCTTCGGAATCTTCTCCCAGGGGTACTGGGGCAGGGAAGGCAGCAGGCATCACCAGGAGCAGCCCCAGGGAGAAGGCAACTGGTCTGAAGGCGCCTGTGCCGGAGGGAAGCCAGTGCACGGGTGAGCTGACAGCACAGCTGGGAGCCTGCCTCCGCAGCTGGCCGCCCGCCAGCCCTCCCTGGGCCACACACCCCTCCCTCACACAGGGCTGCTAGCGGTTCCAGGGCTACGGATTTCCTGCACTTACTTGTGGAGAGAGAGTTCATAGCTGGGTTCCTGGAGGGCAGATGGAGCTTCTCTTTCGTTCCTGGTGGGCTCGAGGGCAGAATGAGCCTCGGACATCTCCAGTCCCATATTTATTGGGGTTTGAGACTCTAATACTGAGACTCATGGGAAAATCCCACATTTGATAAATCTTCGTTGGAGGGTGGGGGTGAGGCCAGAGCGGGTGGGGCTGATTGGAAACCTTATTAAGATGATTGTGCAACGTGACGTCCTTCAGCATCGCAAGACACAACTGGGGGAAAAAGTGCAGCTTAGGTCGTCACTGAGGCTAATGCTAAGTAGTAGAAACACTCCCCCTTTACTTTCTTTATTAGTGACTCAGCAACTTGGCATGTCCTACAAAGAGTAAAGCTGAAGTCATGCACGAAGTTTTACAGAGAAAAAAATTAGCTAAAGCTGACTGTTTTTTGGAAGAAGAAAAAAAACTTCAATGAGATGAACAGGCTAAAATTGATCATACCAGTTAATTTGTATTTGTAAAAACCGAAGATGTTCTGAACTGAGTTTCCCCTGACTCCGTCGCGGGTCCCCCAGCCTGGAGTTATGAAGAAGGTAATACTACCAGTCATCTGAGTTCCTCTGTGTCCTGGCTCTCCCTGTGAGCAGCTGTTGTAGAACTGCCTGGCCACCCTCAAATCTCAAGGTGTGCAGTTATCTCAAGGCATCTCTAGGTGGAGTGTGTGACTCCTTTTTTGCCACCGCGTGGCTTCTGCCGCTTTCCTCTTCACCTGCGTCAGCCCACTAAAGGGAGGCTGGCTGCTGCCCTGTCCTCTCCCAAGTGACCCCTTGGGAATCCTACCAGTGAGGACTTTGCTCTCTGTGCCAGAGGCTTGCTTTGTGCTGCCAATGCTGTCCCCATTGCCACCTGCATCTCTTCACCCCTGCTCCACAGGGCACCTGCATGGGCCCGGGGACTGCTGGAGCCCTGAAGTTACTGAAGCCCATTTGGTTCAGTGCAGAAAGGGGGAGAATACTGCTTACCTCTTTGTTGGGGATGTCAAAGGAGGACCTTGTGGCATCTTCTAGAGCTTGTGTTTATAGCTCCCTCTCCCTGTAAGTCTTGATTTGAAATCAAAGGAACCTGGAAGGAAACTGCTGACACAGGTATGGCTCTAGTCTCAGAATCTGCTTTCCAGTCCTCGGCTTTCTTACTGGGTCAAGCTTGTACAGAAGCCCTCTTCCCTCAGGACGTTGTCTCCTGAAGGAGGATCCTTGGTCTCATGCAAACGGGCTCTAGACTAGACTGTCCTTCCAGTCTCCGGAGACCCAGGCAGTTCTGAGATGGCTTCAGGCTGAAACCAGAACCTTTGCGACAACACCAAAACACTTATTTACCAAACATGGTGTTAACATCACAATCAGTGTTTTTGCTTTGCTAAGAAGAGATCTCTTCGCGATAGATAAAACAGTGACCTCTGTTGGGCATTTACTCAAGTTTTGTTTTGTGCATAACATTTCAGGACCCGCCTGTTGGGGAAAGTGAGGTCATCCATTCTTCACCCGTTGTCTAAACAGAGAGACAGTGGTCCTCTGCTGTGGTGGGATTTTTTGGTGTGAAAATGAAAATGGGGGAGGATGGCTGGGTGGTTTCACTTTTAGTGTTCTCCAGTCTTAAGCCACATAGACACTCCTGAACCAAGTTCTCTTTACTGCACGAAACGAAGCCACCACTCCCAGCTCTTCGGGCCATGCACTGTGATCTGTCTGTGTAATGTGGGATTGCTTTTACTCAAGTATCTATTTTTTAGATAATGCAGTTCAATAAATTTCAGGTACTTGAACTGAGTGACAGAAGACAACACACAGATTTATCTTTTCAGTAAAAAGTGTTTTTTAAATAGGAAGTTTGTGTCCATGATAAAATGTTCAAATAGAACATCAGGGCATGCAAGGAAAATGGTCTCCTTCCTTTCCTGGCTCCTTTTCCTAGAGGATGGCACATAATCTCCTATATTTTCAATCAAATCCTCTGTTATTCTAGTCTGGGAAAGATTTTCTTGTCTACCCAGCTGTTTGATCCTGGCTGTTACATCAAGGATCTGTGCCCTTGTTTGTTCACCTATAAAACCAGGCTAGTAATAGTTCTTCCCTTCTAGGGCTGCTGTGAATATTGAATGTGATGGAGTCTAAAAAATTCTGGGTGCATAGTAATCACACAATAAATGCTAGCTCTTCATAACTTTCCTTGGCTCTGAGTCTCTGCCTTGGAGAACTCTTCCAGCTCAGCTCTGTCAGTTCACCTGGTGTTTTGGCTGTGAATAAATTATGAACAAGCCAGCCTCTGTGCCAGCAATGAGCTGGTTTCCCAGTCATTTTCCCTGAGAAGAAATGAGATTCTGTGTTTTGTTGAAAATGCCTTATTGCGCAAAGTGCAAAATGAAAAAACAAAAAAGATTTTCTCTCTTTTTTGAGAACATTAAGATCCAAACCAAGTCTCTTGTTATAGATAATTATTAGTCCAGTTTGTGTCTTGCTCCTACTTTTTCCAAGCCTTCTGCTAAGTGATTTTACGTCAGACGTCCACAGCCTTCCCTGTGCATGGTGATTGCCATTAATTCAAACTCCTGGAGAGTGACCCTTGAGGGTGAAGGGGCCTGAAGCTTCTGGGGTCAAGGAAGGGCAAATTGTGGGAATGCATGTGTGTAGAGAGGTTGGGGACACTGTCTGTCCCCTGCACATTGCCAGCATGGCGCTTTATTAGTATCAATGCCTTGGGCTGGCATTTGCTTGTGGGCGAGATGAGCTCTCCCTTGCTCCAAAAGCATTAATGTAATATGCGCAATTCTGCCATGATAGCTTCCTTCCTTTGCATCTCAATGGATTTTTCACTTGAAGAGCTCATTCCTTGTTTTTTGTTTTTTCTTGAGATGAGAGTCTCACTCTGTCACCCAGGCTGTAGTGCAATGGCGTGATCTTGGCTTACTACAACTGCTGCCTCCCAGGTTCAAGGGATTCTCTTGCCTCAGCCTTCCAAGTAGCCGGGGCTACCGGTGTGTGCCACCACTCTTGGCTAATTTTTGTATTTTTAGTAAAGACAGGGTTTTGCGATGTTGGCCAGGCGGGTCTTAAACTCCTGACCTCAGGTGATCCAACCACCTTGGCCTCCCAAAGTGCTGGAATTACCTGCGTGAACCACCGTGCCTAGCCCCTCATATTTTTTAAAGGGCGGTTTTAGGTCATAGCAAAATTGAGAAAAAGGTACAGCGATTTCCCCTGTGTCTCCCCTCCCCTAAACTCTCCCCCATATTTTAATATGAATAAGTGACCAGTAAAGGCTGTGCTGTCAGCATTTATTAACTAATACTTCAGTTGCTGGATTACATCATAGCTGATCTGAAGTGAGCACCAGCTGAGATCAAGAGAGGCCCAACAAATGGGAGCGTACAGGGAGGAAGTAGCAACTTGGCTTCCTATGCCAACTGTGTAGGGCTGGCTGGTCCCGTCTGGGTATCCCAGAATTACCACCCATGACTGCTTTCCTACATGGTGGTGGAGTCCAGTTCATAATCTAGTAATACTTTTGAGACCAGTGGGGAGAAGTAACATCCATTTGGTACTTAAGCTCTCAGGAGGAGAGGTGTCTCCATGTCTCAGGAGTTAATATGTAGTGTTGTGCTCTTTCTCTATATTCTAGGGGCTGGAGATGGATGAGTCTGTGATTTAACAGGAGGGAGTATAGCAAGAAAAAACAGGAAGTCCTGGGTACTAGGGAACTTGCAGCTGCTGTCAGAATGTAGTTTCACTTGTCACCAAGTCATAAGAAGTTTGCAAACTGAAACAGTGGGTGATTTAACAGCTTCTGGGGTTGAATCCCACTGAGCAGACACCAGGCTTGAAGGCTCTGGGAAATGTCCTGCTTTGATGGTGGTGTTACTTGAAGAGAGAATATTAGGGACATGTGGTATGTCCGTTTGGAAAGAGCCAGCCGATGTTGGAGGGCAGCCAGGCCTAGTGACCAAAGCTCTTGACAGTTTCCTGCCTGGTCCAGTCTCAGTCCTGGCTTTGCAGCCTCAGCTCTGATGTCCACTTGTAGCTTCTTGGTCTGGCCTCAGCTTTTCTGAGGGGGAGGATGTGCAGGGGCTGCACGTACCTCCTTCTAGGCTAGGGAAGGGGCACATCTTCCCTGCTGTGTTTCTCATTCAGAGCTCCATAGGGAGGCCCTCTGTTCTGTGCCCTAGTTGTTTTGCTATGGGCTGACTTACCTCCCCCCTGCTGAAGTGGAAAATCCCAGGCACCTTGGGAGGGAAGTAGCCTCTCCTGGGGCAAAATGTGTAGACTCCCTTTGCTTTGGGACACCCCTGTGCCCCTTCCCCGGGTCTCTAGGCCTGGAAGATAGTGCCCTGATTACAAACTTCTATGAGGCTGGTTTGCTGATAAGAAAAATTGCTTTTCTGATCCCGAAGGAGCCCAACTTGGCCCTGTCCCCAAGGCTGGGGAGGTCCCTCAGGCTGAGTTTCAGTGCTTTGCCTCTTCTCCATCTGTGGGGTAGGCTTTCTATGGTGGTGGCTGCTGGTTCTGCTTTACAATTAGGAAACTTCAATTTGTCAGCTAGGAGTAATATGTTCATTTATTATCACGAGTCATTTGAGCCATCTTTGGTTTCTCCAAAGATCTCAGTTCTCTGAGTTCAGTATCATAGGCAGAAACTAAGCATGCAAAGCATTGGCTGGTTTCCTTTACTCTTTTCCCTCAAAATTAAGGTACTAAGAAGCCATTTGAAATCATCACATGTAATGGCAAGACCAGGGGATTCTACTGGCCTGGTTATGACGTCTTTCACCTCCCTTCCCTGCCCTTTTGGTTAGTTATTTGCTAAAAAGAGAGTGTCCTAGTCCCTCTGAACTCAGCCTCCTTAGGAAGCAGAATCCATGAAGAGGGTTATGCCACTCTAGTCTTCACGGTGGAATAATTTTCATGAAATGCTTTGGACATGTTGAGGACTCTGTAATTCTGAGACACTGGGGTCCATTATTTCTGAAGATGGGTACACCTGGATTGATTTAAAATGTTACAGAAGAATTCAGATCCAGGTAAGCAAGCAAGTCAAAGAATCATTAGGCAATTTCTTCAAGCGATTGAATTCTATGTTGTATGTACCTATGTATGTGTGCAGATGTG